CCCCCCCCCACCAGATTTCAGTAGCATAGATTAAAAAAAAAATGTTAGAGATGAAGGGATTGTATCTACCACCCCTCTCCTGTTTCTCCAGCTGGGAGGGTAAGGAAAGGGAAATAAAATTTAACGAGCACTTTTACTATGGCCAGGTGTTTTACGTATGTTATTTCATTTAAATTCCCCAAACAACCCTAGATGGTATTTCTAGCCCCATTTTGCAAATAGAGCAAGACTCAGAGAGGTTAAATAACATGTCCAGAGCACTCAGCATTTAAGTGACAGAGTCTGATCCCAATCAAAGTGTCTCTATTACTAAAGCCCATACAGCATTGTGCCTTGGTTTGTGCTTTGTTTTTCTTCACTTTCTGCAGGTTGAGAATGTGAATACTAACGTTTTTTGGGGGCTCCCTGATAAAAACATGGTGATGATAAAACAATTTGCCCTGGGAGGTTTGCTTTTATGGGATTAACTATCTTTGACAGATTGTATTTTGTAAAGTCAAATAAATACTTTTATAAGAAAAGGTTTATGTAAGTTTTTTGGTTTTAGTTCTTTGAAAATTAATTGCCCGTGTTTTACTACAGGGTATAGAATTGCCTGCCCCTTTCTTTGTCCTTAGATCTGTCATATAGAACAGTTAGCTATTCCAGAAAGAGAGTTTTTATTTGCTACTCAGTTTGTCATCAAGGTTTGTCAGAACTCCAGAAAGGCAAAGTCCATTCTTAGGAATATTATTTTGTTGCAGGTCACACACTCCCTAAGAGGTAAGATCAGCTTGGGTAGGAGGGAATAAGGGGTGGAGGAAGGATGGCTTATGTAGCTCTCTAGGGATTGCTGAGGGAGTATTCTTAGTTCTCTTGGGGGTGCTCTGGTATGATATAGGACCAACTAACTTAGAGTGTGTTGGAATTTCAAAGGTTTCTCAAATTGGAGATGCCAAAATACATGAGTACACGATCCTGAAGTGAGGCTTGATGGAATTCTTACAAACTGACTCAGTGTTGCAGTCTTAAAAAGTACTTATACCAGCTGTCGCGCGTGCGCGCGTGTGTGTGTGTGAGATTTTCCTGTATTTAAAAGTAAAGCCATTCCCCTTAGTGACATCAACCATCTCAACCTAAAAGTAAGGGGCGGGGGACCCCCTCCCCAAACAAATAAGCCTCAGAGTATTTAATAGCTGTCACAAAGCTGGTCACATTAGAGGTGCAGCTGACCCGAGGGCAAATAATTTTCTTTGAAAAGGCTAGCAGTATAGGAGAGGAGTCCTTGTGATAGCTGATAGTGGAGAAAAGTAACAAAAAGCCCGCTGAAAAAATGCTGCCACCTGCAGTCGGCTGTTACAAAGAATGTTGCCCCACTCACTTGGTAGCACCAATAGTCAGCTGATTAGGGTGGCAGGGTAGAAGTTAGAACATTTAGAAATATTTCTAAGAAAAATGTTTGGAATTTTTAAAGGAGTTGGGGGTACTTGAAAGATAATCTAGAATTGCTTAGAAAATGAACATTATTAAACACCTTAATCTTTGATGATATCAGATTAATGAAGTGTTACTCTGTAAGACATATCCATGTTTATGTGCGCTTTCATATATCTCTTGAATTAGATTGTTTTGGAGGCCGCAATATTATATGGTTTGCTTTTTAAAAGACTTTGTGAGAATAGTAAATATTTGTTGTAATGAAATTGAATAATAGATGAGTTTTTCCTTCGGCATAATTTAATGATCGCAGCATTCATTCAATACACTTTACTTCCTTCTGACTTGTGCAGCTTTTTGCAAAAAATTGTTTGAGGGGTTCATCACTTTTCTTAATAAGGGCCTCTTCTTTGGTAGTTAAATCATTCTTTTTTGAAGTACCTGTTAGGTTATACCCTTACAGATTAAGTAGTGACTAGTCCAACTCTTAGATCCTCAATTATCTTGACTTTTCCTATGATTGGAAAAGTTGTCCAATATCACTGTCATGGAGAGACAAAGATGTTGACTTGATGGACAAGGAGAGCTATGGTGCTGTGAAGCTGGGAGAGATCAATTTTATAAATGGTCAGTTTATGGTAACTATTTTCCCATAGTGATAACCGGTTTCTTTGTATACAACATGTCTGTGAAGGTAGAAAACATTGAGATCTCTTGCACTGAACGTACAGAATATACTTCAGGACTTTCAGAATTGTCTCTTATCCATTGGGTTTTTTTCTATCTTAATCTGTGCCTGTCTTGTGGATTTTTAATTACTGTAGGCTTATCGTGCATCTGGTATATAGTAAGGTAAGTTTGTCCTTACTATTCTTCACTTTTGAAGTTCTCTGGGTGTTTACTTTTTCTGTGACTTTTTCCTCATGGGAAAATACATTAAATTAAAAAAAATAGAAGTATATCTACTATGTATCTTTTCTTTAATTGTATTTTTCAAAAAAAACTTCTTGACCAAAAGAGGTAAAGGAGACTGGAATATTCATTCTGAATCAGGGATAATATAATCTCTTTGTAAGAAAAACGAAGATTATCATATTACAGTTCTCTAAATTTCTTACCATGAAATTTGGTAGTAACTTGTTTTTTTTAGGGATTGCTCTTTTTAAATTAACTTGGTAAAACTTATTACCACACTTTTCTCTTTCCTTCTATGTTACTAAATATGAATTATTAGGATGAAATTATATTACTCTGAAAGATTTCTTCTAAACTGAATAGTGAGTAGTGTTTCTTCCAGCTCTCTGGCCTGATGATCATCCCTTGGGGGAGACAGTAAGTAGGGTTCAAGTGCCCCATATGTGAATTCTAGGCATTATCTAGTTGTCATTCTCATGTTATATGTCTGTCATCCCTCTCAGATTTCCCAAATGGTAAAGATCTTTCTTTTTGGGCATGAAGACCGTGTCCTGCTTGATGAGTTTTATTCAAGTAGCATAGATAGTGGAAGGCTGAAAGAAAGTCAAAACCTTCATTCTGGATCTTATGTTTCTGTCAAGTACTCAAAATCTTGAGGTAAATTGGTGTCCTGAAAGTTCCCAAAATTATCTCCTTAAGGTTTAGCCCTTACCTCTGAATGTGGTTGTAAGAGAAGGAAGGTGGAACTGAATGGATGTGCCAAAAAGAAATTTGGGGTTAACTTTCCACATACTGATATTTCCACATATGGATAGTGAGAGGAGGTTTTGTCCCCTGGCCAAATAGGCCAGGACCGACTGATGTCAGTGTGGTGGGAGGCAGTTTTCAGTTGGCTGTATGGTTTTCCTAGAGCAATCCAAGGGGGAGTCGTGTGTGTGTGGGGTGAGCGTCTCCTCTCTGGACCATTGTAAGCAGCCACCAAATGACCTCTCGGTCAGGGAGGGTGTGAAGGATTTGTGTGTAGTTCTAAGTTTAAGCTGTAAAGACCCTTTCCCCTTGGTGATTCTGTGTGCCTGTGTGTTTGTGTATGTAAGCATATTTAATAACCTTACTTCTGTACCAGCTCATTGTGAGCTACTTAGACTGCGGTATATATGAGATTTGGTGGGCTTTGAAGTTCTACCAATAGGCATTGCTCATAGACATTGCTGTATTGGGGCATATGTTAGGCACGGATTATTAAATTAAAAAAATTATCTGATCACAGTCACCTGGGTGGCTCAGGCGGTTAAGCTTCCGACTTCGGCTCAGGTCATGATCTCATAGTTTGTGAGTTCGAGCCCTGCCCTGCATCAGGCTTTGCACTGCTGGTGTGGAGCCTGTCTGGGATTCTCTCTCCTTCTCTCTGCCCCTCCCGCACTCTCTCTCTTTCTCTCAAGATAAATAAACTTAAAAAAAAACCTTAAAGAAAATTTATCTGATCAGTGTCTGTGAACGACCTGCCCCAGAGTTGCATTGTTGGTTAGAAGATGTTAGTGGCTGCCTAGAATAAAGGAGGGAAGGGAGGAATTTGTTGAGCACAAAGCCAAGCTGGCCTTGTTTTGTTTTTTTTGTGTCTTTAAAGGAAGAAAACCACTGATCTGGGGATTTGTGTCAGGTATACCACAGGTTCAGAGATGAGTGATTATGGCTTGTTAGTGAAATCTAACAACTTCCTATAGGTGTGATGGTGGTATACTGCAATACATATTTTCATATAGATGTGTAAAATACTTTAGCATGTCTGTCAAATACCATTGCTTTTTTCCCTATAAAGTGTGAAGAACAGGAGGCGGGAGGATGTTTGCGTGGTCTGAATGTTTTTACTTGAAAATAAAAACTGTCAATATTTTTTTCTCGCTGCCGTCAAGTACTGCCCATTGCAAAGAATTAGAAATACTTCATAGCATCTGAATGCAGCAGCTAACCTCTCTCCTCCCTTTCTATCACATAGGTTTCCACTTGAGTGGCACAGTGACAGAACCTGCAATACAATCGGAGCCAGAAACTGTTTGCAACGTGGCCATCAGCTTTGATCGTTGCAAGATTACCTCAGTGACCTGCAGCTGTGGAAACAAGGACATATTTTATTGTGCTCATGTTGTGGCACTGTCTTTATACCGCATCCGCAAGCCAGATCAGGTCAAACTGCATCTTCCCATTTCAGAGACTCTCTTTCAAATGAATAGAGACCAACTACAAAAGTTTGTACAGTATTTGATCACAGTGCACCACACAGAAGTTTTGCCAACTGCTCAGAAATTAGCAGATGAAATTCTTTCCCAGAATTCAGAAATCAACCAAGTTCATGGTGAGTATAGACATTCATTCTGTAAGATGTCTTTTTTGTATTCTTTTTCATTTATAAATTCCTTTCTTCTGCATAAAAATGAATTAAATGTGAATTTAGGTCTTCAGCATTGTTCTTAGTAGCCAAGAGAGATTTAAAAAATTTTTTATTATTAAAGTATTGTTGACAGAGGTTTTTAAGTTTAGTTTTGTATCCTGAAACATTTGTTTCAAAGTGTTTTGTGCATTCTACTAGATAGCAAACCTTTTGTGCCCAGAAAAATTTCTCAGTTGTTAAAGGTTGACTCCTATGCTTTTACATTTGGTAAAATTTCATCAAATGTTAGATATTGGTTGTGGAAAACACAAGACTTATTTAATTCACCTTTGTCAGCTTTTATCAGTAAATTAACTTGGACGTACTCTGAATTTTCTTCCCCCATTTTCTTTTAAAATTTATTTTCCAAGAAAGGACATTTCTGACAGGATGCCTCATATTAAGAAAATTAAATTATTCTTAGAAAAATATTACAACTGGGCTGCCTGGGTGGCTCAGTCGGTTGAGCAGCTCAGGCCATGATGTTGCAGTTCGTGGGTTTGAGCCCCGCATCAGGCTCACTGCTGTCAGCGCAGAGCCTGCTTTGGATCCTCTGTCGTTGCCGCCCCCCCCCCTGCCCCCCCGCCACCGACCCTCTCCTACTTGCGCTCTTTAAAAAATAAACAAATATTTAAAAAAAACATATTACAACTTGTTCAGAGAGAATTTAGGATATGATTATCACTGTGTAAGAAATCTCAAAAATGGTTTCTTATAAACACATTTATCAGGTGTTTATTTTGTGATTGCAGATATGTTGACTTACAAGAATGTATGTGTAACCTGTCAGAAATACACCCACAACCTATTTCATGGAGTACATTAAAACAGGATAAATAATATGGCTAAGTTATAGGTTGTTATGCTTTAAAAACATTTAGACGTAATTTTAAAAATATTTAAAAATATATTGAGGAATGTAACACAGTCTTGACTAGGCAACTCTGGGGCCTAACATTTTTGCATTTCTTTAGTTATATTGATTTGAGATACAGGACTCAATCTATTCTTTTAGGTTTCTAAAAAGTCCTTAATTGCTATAGTGAATGTAAATATTTAAGGAAAGGAAGTTTAATATTTATTTCTTGAAAACTTTTAAAATTGTGAGGTAAAACATGTAGGAAAGTGCATAAAATATGAATATGTAGTTTTAATAAAGTGAACCAACAACACAGGTCCCAGAAATAGACTGCTGTCAGCACTTGAGAGGGTTCCATATGTCCCCTTTCTGTCACAAGCTCCTTTCTCTTCCCCATGGTAACTAACCACTGCCTGGTTTTTATGGTAATCACACCTTGGTGGTTTGTGTTTTGTTGTTGACATCATTAAACACTAGTTGAGTTTTATCTGACTTCTTTCATTGGAATCATGTTTGTAAGATTAATGCATACTGTTTCATGTACCTGTAGTTCATTCATTTTCATTGCTCTCGAGCAGCACTGTCCAAAAGAAATATAATGTGAGCCACTTGTATGGTTTAAAATATTGTAATAGCCTATTTAAAAAGAAACAAGTAAAATTAATTTTAAAAGTGATTAATCTCAATATTCATAAATATCAAGTCAACAAAAAGCTGATACATTTTACCCTTTTTTTCGTATTTCAGTCTTTGAAATCTGGTGTCTGTTTTATACTTACGGCATACCTTAAACCCCCCATAGTCACAGTGCTGCAAGTGCTTAATAGCCACGTGTGGCTAGTGGTTACCTTATTTACTGGACAGCACAACTCTAGAATAGTCTAGCTCTGAGAACATCACCGTTTGTCCATTCCACTGTTGATCGATCTTGTTTTGAATAGAGCTGCTGTGAACATTCTTTTACAAGTCCCCTAGTGCTATAAGATACTTTGAAAATGGTTTTTATGTCAGAGGGACACCCCCATAGCCATACTTCTTCTAGTACTCCCCATACTAGGCTCAGTTTTATTAGAGTGGTATCACAAGGTGTGTAAAGCATTTTACTCGGTAGAGCCTGCCTTTGTTAAATACAATATTGTAAACAACTGTGGCACTGAAGTACCTTTGACCCACCAAAAGACATGCATTCAAGGACTTGTTCAGGTAGGCTTCTTCTTTGTCATACTACCTCCCTCAATCTTACTGCTTTGTGAAAATTCAGGCTAGCTAACAATCATCTCAGATTTCTCAGGAGCCTATCCATGGCTTTTTTATTAAATTGTTCCGTGGAGGCAGAAGAATAGGATATACCATTTCTTCAAACTTGTATGTGTTCTTCAAACTTTTATTTCCTCCCCCCGCCCCCCGAATTTATATAATCCATTAGGGTTACTTTGTTCTCTGAGTTTTAGTTTAACCATAGGTCCACATCAACAATCATTTGTTCTGCATGGGTCTTCCTTGTTTTGAAGAATAGCAGCCCCCAAAGTTTCTTGTCTAAAAGCTTTGAAAATTCATTTTTATGTTCAAATAGTAAGACTAATGAATTAATGTAATGCAGATCTGGGTGCAAGAAAGTGTTCCTATGATATTTATATTTCTTTCAGAATTTCTAAAATAAGAAGAAAAAGTTTTCCAAGGAAATAGCAAGGGCAGAATGCAGATTAGCTTTAGGCTTAGTGTGATTTTCAAATAACTTGTATGAGAACAGCTTAACTAGAGCAGTGAACTTGAGCAGTTTATCCCACCAGTTTCTTCTTCACTTAATTTATCATCAGATTTGCTCCCAGCCTGGAAATGGGCCAGTTACATGAGCTGCCTTCTTGCCTTCTGTCCTTGTATGATACATGGTAAAGAGAAGACAGGTAGGAAGCAGGCTATGACTTTAAGTGACAAAAGGGGAACCCTGGAGAGTGTTATTTTAACTGTTAGATCGATGCCTTATTAGAGAGTGGGATTAAAAATATTTTGCAGTTATTTGACCACATGATTTCACCTGCCTCCAAACATCTGTACATAAAGCATTCTCCAAACCATTAAAGCAGTGCTTTTTTGTATGGTCTTTTGGGTGTAGTTTTTCTTTGAGTAGAAAGAGGTCTTAAACACAAATATTGATAGAGTTAATTTTTCTTTAAGGAAAAGCATCACTTTTACTTGGCCAGATAATAGAGTTGGGATATGATTTAGTTTCAGTTATCTTAATAGGTATCTTAAAGACAAGTTTGGCTTCCAAATCCTTTTTAGAAGAAAGTCATAATTTAAGGAAATACAAACTATGTTGGTAACAGGTTATTCATTTTTCTTAAGAACTTATTTATCCTAATGTTGCTTAAAATTCTATTAGTTGCTTTTCCTTATTATAGTTGACCCTTGAACAACATGGATTTGAACTGCACAGATCCATTTATACCTGTATTTTTCCTGTAAATATATGTATAGCACTATAAGTGTATTTTCTATTACAATTTTCTTAACATTTTATGTTCTCTGGCATATTTATGGTAAGGATACAGTATATAATACACATATAAAATACATGTTGATCGACTTTACCTTATTGGTAAGGCTTCTGAAAGTCAGTGGTAGGCTATTAGTAGTTACCTTTTTGTGTAGTCAGACGTTATACATGGATTTTCCACTGTTTGGGGGGTTGACCCCCCAACCCTTGCATTGTTCAAGGGTCACTGTATTTTGGAATATTTTCTTTCTGCAAGAATTTTATCCTGAGGAGTTAAAAGCTTTCTCAAGATGATTTCAGGCATATTATTCCTAACAATTTGCTTTTTAACTTGATATTGCATATTTATAATTGCAGTAGTTTCTAGATGAAGAAACTGAAGAGAATGTGTTAGTATATCCAAGCTCACAGACTGAGCAAAGGTACTTGGAATATAGACTTAGTTATTGTAATAGTTCATTCCTTGTCAGATTTTTTTTCATTTCTTTGTGTTTTCATAACATTCCCCCCCCCCCACACACATAATTTTGATTAGATTATAAAACTAACTACTGTATGCTAAATAGTGGCTGTAAGATAGTGATGTTAATGGCCCTCCAAGGAGATTTCCCATTATATACTGCATTTTTTTTTCAGCAAAATTGTTTGCTTTCAGTTTTATATTCTAATAAAACTTTCCAGCTTCCACATTCTTAAAAAAGATGCTGGTGTCGGGGCGCCTGGGTGGCGCAGTCGGTTAAGCGTCCGACTTCAGCCAGGTCACGATCTCGCGGTCCGTGAGTTCGAGCCCCGCGTCGGGCTCTGGGCTGATGGCTCAGAGCCTGGAGCCTGTTTCCAATTCTGTGTCTCCCTCTCTCTCTGCCCCTCCCCCGTTCATGCTCTGTCTCTCTCTGTCCCAAAAATAAATAAACGTTGAAAAAAAAAAATTAAAAAAAAAAAAAAAAGATGCTGGTGTCTTCGCTAAGTACTTTTTTAAATTTACTGATTTCCAAGTGCTAGTCCTCTCTCTTACTTAACTCAGCCTTTTTGGTCCTTTATGTTTTGTATTAAAGGAGGTGTATTACATAGATTGGTAAATCGTGGTGTAGAGACAGAACATCAGACTTAAAATCTGAAGGCTTAGAGTCCAGTATTGTCTCTATTATGTATGCATTACTTGAGTAACCTTGGGTGAAGCTCATTTTTTCCTCATTTACAGTGGTCATGCTCTTCTCTAACAGCATTGGAAGAATTTTAATAAGGAATACACGTATAATAATAATAATAGAAATATTACTGAGTTTACCTCATGTTTAGTGTATCCAGAAGTTCTCACAGAAGAGGGTAGAAACCAGTTGGGAGGGGGGGTGAATGATATCACAGTTGGAGGTCATCTTACTTTACTCTGACTTTCTGTCATGTATTTCTTCTTCTACTTTCTCACTTATGCACTTTGTCTCCCCCCCCCCCCCCCTTCCTATGAGCTAGCCTGTAGTGGGCACACTACAGCAAGGAGGGACAGACTAAGCGGAAGCTGGTATTGGTCTTGGCTGGGAGCAGAGTGTGTATGTGTGTGGGGGGGGGGTCATT